CAAAAGTGTGCATAAATCAGCGGAAAGGGATATTTCAGACAATGAAACAAACCCATTGCAGCTGCAGCTGAGTACATGTTTGGCGAAAAATGTAATACGATAAGGGACGGATTGGGAAAAACTGTATCCTCAGCCACAAATTATGAAAAGAATCTCCCATAATATTTCTGCATTCACTCACGCTCTTGATCACCCATAGCCCATTCTCTCACCCCCTACCCTATCCACAGCTCGCTCGCTCACTCCACAGCGCAGCGCGGAATCAAAAATAACTCTCTGATCTCGTTTGCGAGAAAAGCGAGAATGAGGTGAGACTCGAAATCTCCCGAATACTGCACCCTAGCCCAATCCTGCCTCTTGGCCGCTGTAAACCCATGCAAGGGCTGGGTTTTTTTTTTGCCTGATCTCTGAGGGTTGCAAAATTATCTCCACACAACCTAAGCTGGGCGTGGCTTCTGCAAGGGAAAGAAAGCTCCACACACACACAAACACGCGCGCACACCAACCACGGTTACTCACCACACCCTTACTTACTTCTCCACTCCCAATATGGAAAGCTTCGAGAAGCTGTCCCCATGGATTCCCCATCCATGCAAATGAACAAATTGCGGCTTCTAGGGCGCTTCTAAACGTGGGCCTCAAGCCCGGTCACCGTTCGGCCATGTCACCCTCGTGGTTAGCAGGCGTCAAGCCGACCATCCGAACGTTGCTTATCACGGTTGCTGTTGATTCCACGCTCCGTCTGAGTCTGACAAAGTGCGAACCAGGAGAGCTCTGAGTGATTGAGTGGAGCCCGTAGTTTAGTAACGAACTCTGTGAGTGGTTCATCCATCACGAAAATAGAACCTCACGCTACTGTGGATTTACGGGTAGCTAACGGCCCTGGACAGGCTCTAACTAATGACAGCTTCGGAGCTCTTTCTAGATAGCTCTGCAATCTCTCAGCAGTGGCTTTCCCCCCGGAACGCCGGACGCCAGAAACTTCCAATCGCTCCACCCTTTTCTTCCTTCCCCTTGCTTGTCCCCTCTTTTCTTCCTGCAAGAGTAACCGCAGATCTAAACGTCGTAGATTCGTATCCCTCCGATATGGCATGCACCGTTTTGCGTCACGTCACGTCATCCCATTCAGCATGGTCGCCGTCAATCAATCTCATGCTCGAAAGGAGAAACAAGGACAAAAAAAGCATTTGTTTGTCACGGTTGATCCCCCTTCCGTAGTCCAAAGTGATGGGAAGTTTTGTCCAATTATCTCCTCCCTTCCCATTTGGGACCCTGAGCTGCTGCTGCTATTTCGCTCAAATTAACGATGGGCATATGGATCGTATCACATTGCTGTCCTTTCCCATTGTCCCATCATCACCGTCACTTCCCGGGGCATCGGTTGTGAGGTCTTGAATATATTTAAAAATCGCACCGTGCAATCAATCACAAAGGTATATAGGCGGGGAAGAGGAGGATGCGAAACAGTGCGAGGGCGGAGGTTACACATACTCTAGACATGTGTGCAGTGCAGTGTTTCTTGCTCCATGTGCCACATGCAACCATATCATCGGACTGCTCTGGAATAACTAGCAGTGGGCGATAAAAATGAAAAGTGACCAGAGAGAGGGGATTGCTAAGTAATGGGGTCTAGAGTGCCAATAAAATTAATGAGGTATTAAGAAGCTCGTCGTGCTAAAACGTCATAACTAACTATGTAACGAGGACAACTACATAATATGTAGTAGCTGGGTGTTGGTGGTTAATTGAAACAAGGGCTTTCTACTTTACTTTTGCGACTGGGGGCAAGTATTCTCTCGCAAATTAAAGAATTACAACGTGCAACTCAACTACTCCAGATCTCCCAACCTTACACACACACACGCACATCTTTGCGAGCACTGCTGATACGTGGAGATTTCAGACGTTCTCATGACTAGACGGATCCTTGAATGATACCAAGCCCACGCCTTGTTCATCACTCATATCACATCACGTAGGTACTCACTTACAGGGAGGGTTTTCAAAACCGGCTGTCCTCGCTTGGCCCGCCCCGCCCCGCTCTCCGTCCAAAGCCGAACGTTTGATCCCCCTTCGCTTGAGTGTGGATGGGGGTTTCAGGGAAAAAGGCGTTCCCACCTCCTTGCATGAAAAGTACAAAGCCGTCGACAGAGTGAGGCTTAAAAAAGAGTTCCCATGTGGCAGTGGGTGTAGTTATGTAGGGACTTAGGACATGTGTATGCCATGTGCCGGCCATGTGCTTGCCATGTGGGTGTTTTTCTCCGTAGGAGCACTCTTCGGGAAGCAAGGCCCGTAGGCAGTCTGACGTGCTGCAGCCCAACCTTCTTGGGACAAAAGGCAGGAAGACAACCAGGGATCTCGCTGTCCAATGGGCGGGGGTCTTTATTTGGTACCTTGGGGAACAATGATAATCCTAAGGCGTGGCTGGCCTGGAGCAGCGTTTATGCCAACCGAATAAAGTAGATACATACATACTTGGGATAATACTTCACTGCGGACCTACATATGTACCTCCATATGCATAGAGCACTCTGTTACTCACTAAATTTTGGTCTAGATCTTGGTTCCAGATCTTTAGCCTTGCAATAGGGTACGCACCTGCGGTTTTCATGGTACAGCGTCCTAGGGCAAACTCCAAAAGTTCAATGCATTTTCGCGCTTTATTAGACGGTTAGATATAAAAGTATTTTCTCAGGTGAATAAAAGCTACTTAGTTATAGTTAGTATCTAATTTTAAATCTAGAAACCTTATTTCCGCCAAGAGGAATCTCACAATTCACATTTGGGAGAGATACACGCATGCGAACAAAGTGCATTCTGTGCCTAAATTAGGCGCTCAAGTGCACATACCGTACTCTACATAAACAATAGCATTAACATGCAGAGTCTGAGGATATGGGACCATGTGAGCATTGATTGAGTTCATCGACCACGAACCCAATACCAATGCTTAGCTGGCACGACCAATAACATGGTGGATCCATATATAAATATTCCTAATTTATACGATTAATGGAATGGACTGACTCTTCGGTACCTGCAAGCCCTCTCTACCACGTCATCTCGTTATGCGTTATGAATTCCGTGTTCTGTCCCTATATCGAGATTGATAGCCCGGCGGCCATTCGGTTTGTTATAGTAACTATCCTACATGAGCAGCCCGAATTCGTCTGTACTGCGTCCCCGTACATACCGTACCCCGAGTCAGCTTTCAAGACTCAAGACCGTATCCGGACAACTATAATTATTAGATCGGAATATCATCGATCTACATTATCGTGATCATCATTGCTTATTTATTTAGCGGTGGCGGGTGAATGGTTCACCCGGCGGCCCGCTGTTTGGTTGCTCCATCTCCGTTAAGTCTAAACGAGTCAAGCTGCCGTATGATATTTCTCCGTTCATTTTCAGCCTTGGTCAATGATTAGCTGTAAACTTACCACACACTGTCAATGATAAGCCGACAAAATTAGGTAGGTCACGTCACTAGTATTCTCCGCCGGCTATGCTCGATCGGTGTATGTATCCTGCGGCCGAACCACAACAGCATTTTCACGATAACAATATTATTGTTATTATTATTATTATAAGCACGACAGATATATAAGTCATGCAATGCAGCCCTGTTTGTTTCATGTGTTTGATGGGTGGGTAAGGCTTTCTATTTCGTTTCGTGACGACTCTTGAGATTAATCTTCAAGTGCTGTGAGACTCCGAGAGAATCTCTGAATGCCAGCCTCAGCCAGTGCATGTACTCATGTAGCTTGTGCAGCACATCATGCGGCTCTTACGATATCGTAAGAGTGTTTCACAAACTGCAGAGCAGAAGATCGGTACTTTTTTCAGCGGAGCTGATCTACCGATTCTGTGTTCAATCCTGGAGTGTACCTAGGTACCAAGTACCAAAAACCAGGTTACGAAAGTATCGAAAAATAATAGAACAGTGGTTCGCTTATTGTCAAACGAGGCAGTGATTGTTAACATGGATAAAAATAGCACACTCTCTCAATTGATTTATCCTTGACATCAACCGAGATAAGCGCTTTAGTTTCCAGAAGCCTTCCCTTTAGGAAACATTACGGCGCGACTGCATACTTTGGATTCTGCCCTGCCATACGAAGTCTGCCTTTCACGACTATCGCGAGATGTGGCTACAATTGTTTGTACTAGCTGTGGCGGCTAGCGCTGGCCTTGGGAGAATTGTAACTATTCCTTTCCGGGATTCATTAATTCAACGCGTAGGAGCTACATGTAGGTAACTTGTGGCACGCTGTTTCGATATTAAAGATCAGGCTAGGCTGATACGGGAGAAGATAGTCGATTAATTCTACATCAATGGTGCAGAAATAAGAGATTACATGTAGCTGTAGAAATACTCGACGCAAGATATAACTAGTTATTTTTTTTAAAAAAAAAATGCTTTGCGATCATCTTGAGATATTAAGCACGCCTGTTCGATTTGAACGTAGTTTGTCTCATCTGGTATAGATGGCTCGCTCCGCGTAGTCCAGGACTCTATATTGTACACGAATTATTAGTAAATCAGACTATTTACGTCTATGAAATTTGTCAAAGTCAAATATAGCAATAAGGGGGCCAGCTGGCAATCGGGGCCAAGAACGAGTTAGGACCTAAGGGAGACATACAGTGGTACTTCTGCTGTCAATACTCATATGCCGGTTCAAGTCTCGAAGTGAGAAAGCATCACTGAAATCCTCCTTTTCTACCCAGAATTAACAGTTGAAGTCAACATGAGATTAGATTAAAACTTACGCTTGGTATCTCGGAACCTGATTGTAAATTCGGAGTTTTTTAATGGGTCTAGCCCATTTACCCTCCCGTTCGTTGCCTGCATAAGTGTTGTGTCAAGCATTTTACCTCGCCATATTGTGCACCGTTTCATGACTATTGTTCTATCAAAGCTTGTCTCTCGACTGGCCTTACTAAAACTATCCCTAGTGCTTCCTGAGATGATTCAACGGGTGGTAAATAGTTAGAATTTATAGGCAGTAAATTGATCTTGGGGGCATCATGCCTTCAACACTAATCCATGGCAAATCCCCAGAGGAGGAGGATGATGTTATTTGACGAGCGACGAGTCTTTCCGTGGCCGGTACCCCGCCAGCGCTGCTATTCTCACGCCAAACTTGAAGATAAACTGGAATCTTCTTTAACTTTTTCATCAGATCCAGAAATCTTGGCTCCGCGTACTCGATACAGACGACTTTCCTGGAACGAATGTAAGTAAATCAAACCATGATAAAGCCGCATAAGAAAATCAGAAAAACGTACATAGACAAAATCACACTCCAACCATCCGATAGAGCAGTGAGAAATTCTTTCTCTGTATCAAGGGTGGGTCTATCAAGGACAACCCATCTTTCGCCCTGTAAAGTGGTGTGAGAGAGTTGGGGTTGTAGGTCTTCCGTACTCTGTGCTGCCACATCGATAGAGAAGGCAACACCCCCTAACTTAGCCTCCGTATGAGAGTATGCCACTGAAGAACCCCCGTGCGCATCTTGTGGCATATTGACGTGGTTTGATAAATAAAGAGGGGAATAGAGGTTTTCGAGCTCAATTCTGGAGTAGTTTTCGTCTATAATATAGTCGATTTCTCTCCCAACTACACATAGATCAGTTAGTATCACCTCTAGCTCTTGAGAGAGGACCTTACAGAAATAAACCTCAGAACGCTTCCAAATCTCTTCCATGTCCATCGTCGGTACGCTTTCGCTCTTAGTGACCACTAGGTACTTGTAAGTTTCGGGGCCAGTACCCTTCTTCGTGTTTCTGACACGGTAAAGGTGGTATTTGGGGTCATGATATGACCTGCGATCGTTATTATCTGAGTTCAAAGCTTGAAGAATTCATTGTGGTCATACCAACATCCTAACAGCTCCTTTGATATTTTGCAGACATTTAGGCTAAGGATGATTTCACTGAACATAATTGCATCTATTGAATTTGTTATTATACCTTCAGAGATCTATCGAGATCCTACTGACCATTTTCGTTCAAAAATTTGACATTAATACTGTGGTTGGGGCTATCGGGAATCCATTTCTATCATAGCTTGTTAGTTAGGGATTCTATTTTCACCGCGATCAGGAGAAGGTGGGTGTTAACGTAGGTAATTAGATGGTCGAAATTTCCACCTGTACCGCCAAAGGTATCCTTCTGATTGCAATCGGACCATTTAATGGTCACCTCCAAAGGTTCCAGAGGATTCACGCTAACATACACCCACGACATGGGCAGGACTACAGTACTAAATTTAGTAAAACATTATACGTATTAAATGCGAGAATCAGGAAACCTACAAAAGCTGGTGCACTTTGGATTCTTCTCCCTCGCGCAATCAGAAATAACCAAACGGCGAACCTTTTGCCAATATTGATCGGAGTTCATCTCGTGGACCCGAAGCTCCCAATATCGGGAGTCGTGGTTGAGAATAAGCTGTGGTTGTATGCTCTGTCTTGATGAGTTTACATTTCTTTTACTGTAGTCTTGCAGGACCCTGTCACGGAAGATTGCAAAATATTAGAGTACGCAGCATTAGTTGATGGATAGAAACTGGTACCTCCGGTAAATTTCGTTCTCGAAATCGGAGGGTTCACGGTCTTTGACTGCATCGAAATATTCGTGGGCAAGCGTAGTGAATTTCTTGTAATCTTGTGAAACATAAGCTGGGGTCTCCCGAGGTAGGAATACGTTTATACACACCGTCAGAATTTTTGAAGGTTATAGGCACCGCTCTTTTACCAAACGGAACGACCATTTTGTTGGTTGTATCATTCATTGAACCTTCATTAGCCCATTGGAAGGATGAACCTGGGCACAGTTAGTTGGAATCACTAAAAAGGATTATGGGATTAAGGGGGTTCGACATTTACAGGAGAGGTTCATCGTTCCAGCTTGGTTCGAGAGCACCATGATAGGCTCTGTTTGCTCTGATGGAACAACTAATACAAGCAAATAGTCTGTGTCTTCCACCAGTAATCTCATCGCTCGACAGCCAATTTGGGCTTGAACAAAACTGCAGTAAAGGTGTGTCAAAAAGGAAAAGTAGCGTTGGTGTTGCGGCTTTAAACAAACCTCCGATATAGGACCTCTTCGTTATCGCTTCCTGCATGCTCGTCCTTGATAGTAATCCAGCGGTGAGAATCAAGTGCATGCTCGAAGATACTTCCGGTGTCGAGTTCTTCATGCGCAATTCTTTCCCAGATAGCGAAGCTTGCGGGGTCCAGTGAAGAGACACTTGGAACTGATACTCCCCGGAAACCTTTGGTGTGATGGCCGATAGCCTGTGAGATGTTAGGTCATAAATAAAAAGAATAAATATTTGACCGTAGCCTAAGCGACTAGTCCAAAAAGCCCAAGCTCCTATATCCAATCCAAAGTGCAAGCCTTCTTAGAGTGTTTAATGCAAAAAGTCCAGCCAACTTGTTGACCACACCAGAACACTCATGAATATCACTTACACTTGCAAGGTTTTCTAAAAGAGTCCGCTCCTCGGGTCGAAGGGATTCAATCATTTCCTGGGTTTCGGGCGATTGAATGTCGTTCATCCCAAGCTGGCTATAAAGGATCCACGATGCCTTCAGGAGATTCACATGGTGCATAGCTGAATGGTTGCTTCCGAGAAGTTCTGAGAGTTTGATAGACTGAAGCACTATTAAAACGAGGTTTTAAAGATTTGAGGTGGGGAGATTCCATACTTTTAAAAGCCACCAAGTTCCAACTCTAAGCCAGGCAGCGGGTGGGGAGTTCTTGTAATCACTAAGAAGTGCCGACTTTTGGAAAAGTTCAGCGAATTCTACTGGGGGGGTGTTTTCTGGGATCTGGGGCTGACACGAGATTTGTCTGTTTCGAAGTAGTAACTGGGAAATTCTGTCCTGTACGCTCTGGAGTATCGATTTGACTTCGTCTGAGTAATCGGTTGCTTCGATTCCTTCTTCTTCTTCCTCATGTGTTGTAGCTATAGAAGCTGGTGCTACCGATTGCACATCAGTAGAGCTCCGACTCCTCGCTCCCTGCGAACTCTCCGCCGTAGGGCTCTGGGGTTCCTGGATAGTCTTCTCTGTATCAGAGATAACTGGTAAAGGAGGGACCACAGCCCGCAATTCGTGTCCTAGCTGCTTTATCTCACTAATTATCGCGAAATTTTGTGACCTACTTCAATATCAGCGCTAGGCCTTACTAGAACTCTAATAACTTGATGTTTCTGGATTCACAATATCATGACTCACGTATGGATTCGTAGCATCACAATCTCCAGAAGTTTTGACTGGACGTGGATCCTATCTCTACACTGAATGAGCGATGGGTATTTCCTTGCCCACCAGATTTTCCACGATATATTTTGAGGCCGTCCCCCGAAATTCTTAAGCAGCTTGTTCCAACATGTCAGACTCTCTGTTGTAAAGGAGACCGCTTCTTCGAGATCGGCTATTATCCCCCTTCGCTCCTCCACATCAGAGTGAATCATTAGACTCCCGCCTGAACCACATTCTTTTCTAATTCCCTCGAGTGTCGATTTCAAGCTCGCAAGCTCTCGGGAAAAAAGTGCGAAATCGCGCTTCGCATTCCCGAAAATGCTGATAAAGTTGTCGTACAGCTGCATTGCTAACTTGATGACATCAATGGCTTCCGGGATCCCGCAGCTTAACGCCATAGTGAGAAACGTACAGATATACTTGGCCGACTATCTGGAATATGGAGGTTCAAAAAAGGATTTCTTATGTTAGCTAGAGCTATATGTGAAGAAGAACACCCCTGTAAACGTCTAGTGCAACTCGCGCTGCCGTCACTACCGCGAAGATGGCTAGTAAACAGCTTTCCTGTATCTACTTATTCGAACTAGAGTTCTGTAGAGCGAACGTTTTGGCTAGGGTATGGAAGGTTTGAAGAGTAAATATGAGGAGTATTGTGGATGTGGGGAGCACTGTTGATGCGGGGAAATGTCATTTACTTACAAGGCTGCTAGCTGTTGAGACTGGGCTCGATCGAGGGACATGATTTTCTGTGGGGGGATACGGGGTGGTTCCACAGAAGTCATATCAGTACAATTATACATTCGTTGGGGGTCCGTACCACGTAGCTATAATGTGTAACATAAAGTGTAACTACATGTAACCAATAACATTTATGACCAATGATACTTGATGTCAACTCCTAGAGTGTGAATATGGCTCGGTCAAGTTTTCGTGAGCCCCGACTCGGATCAATGACGTCGCCTGAGTATGTACTCTAGTGGGGTACATATTCTACACGTACACAGCATGTATACCTATACTCTACTTAAGCTTCCTACATGTACATTAAGTACATGTATATAGCTATAGATATGGTATGTAGGTTCGAACATGACCGGGGAAATCCGCAGTATTGGTCAAATGGGTGTTAATCTGCAAGCCTTAATCACACCAGCCCAGAGCGTAGCCCTAAACCGCCTTGACCAGTGATAGTGATAGAGTACTCCTGGAATTTCTCGGTACATTATATAGGTACTATATCAGCTTGATCTGGTTCCACGGCAATTACCCTGGCTAACTTCCTGAGAAAGCGGGCTGAGGAGCGCCAAGAGAGATCCCGTCAAAGTCAATCGCCTGGAAGGGACCAGGGAGATGAAATCCCTAAGTGTGCTGCACTGACCGCACAAGTACTCTAGTTCCGCCTATGTATTACACAGATTCACTCATTTGCTGCGAATGAAGTTTTCACGGTTCTAAATCACGTTGCCAATCGGATTCTTTGCGAATTTACCCCCCTGAATGTAGGATACATCTAGTAAGCTACAGTTCTCCAACTTCTCTTGCTTACCACATGCAAGCATGGCGGGTAGTGACATGTCTCCGCTACATAGAGTACATATGAATACAGCACTGCGGCCGTGCTTTGTCTTGGAGGCTGCAAATGTAATTTTTCCGTTAACATGGACTGTGAGTGAAAATGCGTCAGGTAATATCCTAGAATCGTTCAATCATGGCCAGTGCCAACCGTTTATATGGAACGTGAAATCAAGGGCTAAATATGTTTCGTTCCTTGTTTCGAGACATGTTGTTTTATTCGCGCGTTTTGTTCCGCTGCACTATCGGCACTTATAGAGTTACCCTATCCAAGTACTAACTAGGTTAACACCCGGCACAGCTTACAGCTCCTAAATTATATAGCTTTATTTTCTATTCTATCGTCTATTAGCTCTTTAATCTATATTGTGCTTTATTTCTGCTTGTCTTCATTTTCTATTCTTGTTACCGCTGTTCTCGGTTTTCGAGTAGTGTAACGTCTGTATTTGGGTGATAGTGAATATCGAATGTCACTGGGTTAGTGCATGCTTGTAGTGCCATTTCAAACCTTTATCGATTCCATACATAGTTGTAATTCATAGTACTCCATCAGTCTATAATTTTAATTCCATCTCAACACGACCATTTTTTTGGTGGAATTAATCAAGCTTTTGTTCTGAAATAATAGTTGTGGATGTTCCTATCAATGAATTATCAATTAATCGGTTTCCTTCATGAAGTATCACTCGCTGCTTACAAATATCCTCCAGGCGGGGAATTTACATGTCTCACCAGCCAAAGGACAGACCCTTCCTGGGTGCTGAGTGCCCCATCGCTCAAACAGCTGATAATTGGTGAAAAGCTTAGTTCAAGAGGTATAAAAATTGGTTATCCAACTGTTCAATTATACAGAAGGGCACGATCGACCGAGAAGGCGTCCGTCATAAACCCCGAGTTTCCGGGCAGAAGTCTTGGAAGCAGTTCCCTACACGTAAAAGAGTAGCCTGCGGCTGGAAGATATATTGTCTCAGATCTCCGCTATGATGTATATCACATGTGCCTCTTGTGATACGAGTATGCAAGGCAGACTTGCCAGTGATTGACAACAGTAATTCCATACATAATCGATGAACAGATAATTGAATTGATGAGCCTTGCGTAAACTTGTTAATGCGTCTAGACCAGTTAGTAGTGATCCATGCATCCCCAAGTCTAATATATAACTACATATATTTCTTGACTTTTGATTGGTCAACCGTTGAAGTGCACATGCTCAGAAGAGTAGAAACCCTAACCCTACAACTTAATTAACGAACGGCTAGTTAAGATGACTTGTGGGTTCCTGGTACACGAAGGAGAGGTATCATGAACTCAAATGAAGACCTTATAAACCGAGGTGGATACTAATGGTAAGTGAGTTCCTACGTTGCGTCACCACCGGGCTAGAGGCCATAGAGACTGGCGCCTTTCTTCCGCTGGCGAGCTCGCGCTCTTCTGTTGATTGATAAATGTACCAGTGGTCATTGGCCAAAGCCTCTTGGAGTTTACCTAAAAAGTTAAGGTCTAATACTATTACCCCATTCCAAGATTAGTCATAGGATGATGATTCGACCGATGCTTATGGGCAGTCAGTATAGGTACCGCAAAATCTGAGAATATTCGTTGCGAGACAACAGGGGTATCCCATGGTCCGTTAAAGCTGCCTATTGATTCGGGAGGCGTATTTTCAGCTGTGGCTTGTGTCTGGATCACACACCTATTCGGCTGCCACCCTTCCTCTTTTAGTAATTATAATATTCTGTCGAAATAGACAGCATCTGAGCACCGGATTATGGGATAGGCCAACCAGAGGCAGTCTTTGGACGTCAATATGCAAGTTTTGGTGTAGAATATCCCTGTTGCAGCGCAACGAAATTTCTCTGATTCTACGGTACATACATACCTGTAAGCCTTGCGTCCTAAAAACCTGTATAAAAATGTGATATTAATTCAGACAAGAAAACTGGTTGACAACTCGGTTAAATCAACTTAAATGGTAATTATGTCGTTTTATTTCTGCTTTTTAAGAGAAAAAGGAAACTCCAACGGCCGGGGGTGCAGTGCAACATTGGGAGTCTTTAACTGGATTAAGGCATACTTAAAGGAAAAGCACCCCGGATTCGTGTGGGGCATCGACACTTTGCATATTGACGTGACTGATCGAGGTGGAGTATAAGTATGAATTGTCCCCCCGGATTGGGCCGACGCTTAGTTATGTGTTAGCTCCCATACCCTTTTTAACAATGTCGGGTATTTCGAATACGTATGAGGAGGACGTCCCAACACCCGCAGAACAAGACGCGATTAGATCTATTGCAAAGCCTTTCCATGCAAAGTCTGACGACGAACTTCGGGGTTTGGCTGGCGAGTTCCTTAGGAATGCGGAGTTAGATGAAAGTCTATTAGTTATATTCGAGAAGGGTGCAATGCTGGCTCAACAGCCTACCCGCTATGAACAAAGGGGAGACGGCCTTGATCTCACGGAGACTGAAGCAAGAACCTTGAGAGATGAGAAGGAGAACAAATGGAATATATCAGGGACTTTACTCTCTCTAGTTATCGTTTGCAGTATGTCAGCAGCTGTCCAAGGCATGGACGAAACTGCCGTCAACGGAGGTGAGCAATACATCCGATTCTCAATCAAGTCCATATCATGCTTAGCCGTATAATATATAAAGCGCAACTGTTTTATAGTAAATCTTTCGGAATTGAGGATGGCGAACACCTTCTTGGCCTCTTGAACGCGGCTCCGTACCTATCATGCGCAGTGCTAGGATGCTGGTAAGTCCGCAAGAATATCGGAAGCATTGCACATGGTGCGCATATACGCTAACAGTTCCTGGCTAGGCTCACTGAGCCCATGAACAAATATTTCGGTAGACGAGGAACGATATTTATTGCATGCATTATCTCGTCTCTTTCCTGCCTCTGGCAAGGCTTTACGCATACTTGGCAGCATATGTTCTTTGCCCGGCTAGTCTTAGGGCTTGGGATTGGTCCAAAAAGTGCCACAGTCCCCATATACGCAGCCGAAAGTAGCCCAGCATCTATAAGAGGTGCTCTAACTATGATGTGGCAGATGTGGGTGGCTTTTGGGGTCATGGTAGGGTATTTGGCAGGCGTAGCCTTTCATGATATACATTCAGAAAAGGTGCAGTACTTCAAGTTTTCTCTCTATCCAGCCATGAGCTAGTGCTGAAAGTTATTCCGTTCAGATTCCAGGATTGAATTGGAGGTTGATGATAGCCAGCCCAATGGTTCCTCCGCTAATTGTTTGTGTTCATATATTCTTTTGTCCGGAATCTCCCCGGTTGGTTCCACTGGTCCGATAAAAGGACGTTCCACTGAACTTCTCTCAGATGGTTAATAAGCCATAAACGTTTCAAATCTGCCTTCGAAGCACTCGAATCCCTCCGGGGAACCAAGCTTCAAGCTGCGAGAGACCTACTCCATATCCATTTCTCTCTCGAGGCCGAAAAAAAGGTCCGAAGAAGGATAGGTGTAATTCAACGTCGTAAAGAACTGCTCACCGTACCTAGGAATTGGCGAGCACTTCGTGCGAGTACTATCGTTATGGCGATGCAGCAGCTTGGAGGTGTAAACGTTATCGTTTATGTGAGTTCAGTCCTTGCGAATATATCGTTAGGCCTAGTTGACACCTATATCAAGTATTCCTGCAACATCATTGTTGAAGCAGGAGCTTCTACTAAAAAAGCACTCCTACTCTCCATGGGATTTGGAATTATCAACTTTCTTTTTGCACTGCCGGCGGTGTGGACAATTGATACATTTGGTAGAAGAAATCTTCTACTAATCACGTTTCCGATGATGGCTTTGTTTATGCTACTCACAGGGATGGCATTTTATATACCAGATGGCAATGCCAAAACTGCGGTGGTTTCTCTCGGTATTGTATGCTCTTCAATCATACTAAATCTTTACGTGGCCATGGATGTGTACTGATGATGCGCAGTTCCTTTTTGGGATGGCTTACAGTCCCGGGGAAGGGCCTGTCCCGTTTGTATACTCCGCTGAATGTTACCGTATGTGATCCCCTTCCATTGTTGATCCTCGTTCTAATCGTGACATTTAGCGCTTCATCTCCGTGACATTGGAATGTCCTGGTCCACCTCCGTGACGTGGTTTTTCAACTTTTTAGTTGCTATGACACTACCTCTCTGCCTCAAACACATGGGTCAGCAGGGTACATTTGGATACTATGCTGGCTGGAACGTCATTGGGTTCTTTCTTATCTTTATGTAAGCTTCTCTACTACAATAGCGTGAAGGTAAGAAACTTACTAATATAATGACCTGGGTGGTGAAGGTATGTACCAGAGACAAAGGGAAAAACGCTAGAGGGTCTGGACAAGGTTTTCAGAAGGCGATCAAGCGGGGAGAATTGGAAATCTTTGAAGGCGTTGTTTTTCAGGGGCCAGGTAAGGTCAGGTATAGTTGATGAGGTCGAGCCCGAGCAGACGAAGAACCCGTACCTGATGTAGGTGGATGCATGAAATCAATACATGTAATCCTAGGGAGTGGTTGAGCTCATGAGAGATGAGAGGTTGGGAGTAGTGGCGGATCACACATGGTTAGGGTGTATCCTCTGCCGGTATCATGGTGTGGGTTACGCGCGTGTATACGTTTAATTAGGTGACGACATGGCCTGCTAGATTATACTTCTGCGGATATTGTATACATGTATTTATCAACTTTTCTCAGTATGTACTAATGCTTTAATTAAGTGTGCCAAGTAGAATCGAACGATAGTTGAAATTTAAACAACGTAGGCAAGATCTTGTCTGGTAGCTTTTGCCAGCCACATAAATCCTGTCAAGATTAATAATTTCTTCTCAAGCAATCATTAGCATCGTTATGTATACCCTAGCTCCGTTCGCTGAGGTTGTTCGAAGAAGAAACCAGCTGGTTGTTAAACTTTATTACATGTATACAGTTTCCCTCTCAAATCTCTCCCGCAAAGTGTCTGAGATGTGTTAGGAAGTTATGTCGACCCTGCGGGAGGGAAGTGACAAGTGCTTAGAGTGACAAATATGTACCTAGGGTCCATATACCAGGTCACTGAAGATTTATCGTCTGAAGCATTTTCATGCCTTCTGGTTTTTTTTTGGCGTTACGGTATTTTCAGTTTGTGGATTGTGGAATGCAGCGTTGCGGTGGAGAAGCGGGTTAATGTCGTAGGAGCTGCCCCACCAACCGCCTCACCAACCACCCCACTCAACCTTCGCCTTCCTTCACCATACATAATACCATCATCACAATTTCTCTTTCATTACGACGTCATAAGAATTAATCAATTTAGGTTGGATGTTTCTCCTAATGGCTTGCCCATCAACCCATGCTCCGCAAACCTTCTTTGGGTCTACTGTTTTCCTCCCAAGTACAAGATATGTTCGCTCCCTCTGCTTCATACTCACCTCTACAGTATCGGCCCATTTCCCGACAATAGGTTCTTCTTGCGTAACTGACATTATTCTCCGGGTGAGACGGTCTTATGGATGGAGGGCTTAGGATACTGTTTCGGTGAATTACATCCTGCCAGAAGAGGTAACGCAAAAGAGAACTCTTGAATGATATATTAGAGTGTATTGGCCACACTCGATTTTCAAATTTCGAGCTCAAATTCTGAGTTCTTGGCAGCGGGGAAGACCCACCTGTGCTATGGTGAACGCGTATAGTGTTCTTACTATTATTAAGCTCTGTAGCGTACGATATAACACTCAATACTCCAGTGAACATTGACAGAGTTTAATGGAGTACAGGTGGGTCTTCCCGCTGCCAAGAACTCAGAATTTGAGCTCGAAATTTGAAAATCGAGTGTGGCCAATACACTCTATTGCAGACTTGAAATAGCGGTATGGCTTGATATATTTTATCCCGACTTGCCGGAGCGAAGACGGTCGGTGAAGTTGAACCTCACCCCAACGGCCATGTTGCAACTGTGCCTGGTATACATATGCGTACATGACGATTTTGCAAATATATTTCACCATCATTCGAACAGATTACCCGCGGAATGTCATGTTAATTCGTGAAAGCAGAGAGTTCTATACTGCAGTCACCCGCTGAAACACGGATGTAGTCATTTGAGGGAGTCTGCATCGAGTATTATGTTATCAAGTGGTGTCGGAATATACGACAGGTTTTTTTGCGATTACACATATATGAGCTGCACAAACTTATTTATGTCACGTGCATACTCTACTCTTTCTCTCGGTGGCATGCGAGCTCATGAAAACTGCACCCGGAGCTGTGGCTTCCAATTTTATTCTAAAAAATATAAAAAATATAAAATAAAAAAAGGTAGCGAATGGTAATAAGTTTGGCGTCTCTGGGATCTTGCTGTCTACTTAACCACTTGAGCTCAGATATCACCCGTAAGTGGCTGTTTTGACCTTGAGTGATATGCCATGATTCGTCTTACTTTTGTTTACTAAACTAAGTGTAGGTGTAGTGCAATGTTAGTGCTGGCATTATAGATTAGTAATTCACCGGTATGTTTACTAATATACATATTACCAGGACGGCCACGAACTTCAAAATGGCCCTCCAATGACATCTGGACAACCAAGGAGAAATCGGCATGGGTTTCTGAAATTCGGCCTCTCAGTCGTTGAGGGTTTCCATATTGCTGTGATTCGCTCAGTTGTGTGCCCCCTGGTAACGCTAGCTGGCTGGTCGGTTTTAAGAGTATTAAGCTAGAAACATCACGAAGACCGGCTCTAGCCAGTCAATTAAGATATGGGACAAGAATCGGAGATCTAGCATAACACAAATCTGAGTCCCTAAAGCTACTATATTATTTAGTACTATGTAGCAGGCGATGACTGAGCCATCCGATATTGTCACTCGACGTTGGCATTCTCAAGAGCGGCATGTACGTCAATCAATCATTTCCCACCCGACGTGTCAAGGCTTCCACATTACAACCACTCATTACTCTTTAGTTACATATTTACTCATTATCATCAATTAATCTCTACCGTAATACACGATTTCCACCTAGAACCTCTAAACTAGAACCGTCTAAACCAACAAAGGAAAGGCATGCCAGAATGCCGTTATCCCAAAATTCTATAACATGAGAAAATTCCGTGGTAAGTTCCTCATCGATGACCGGTCCTTATAACCCAAGTTTCAAGTCCCGCTCACCTCCCTCACCGTAATAATGGCTTCAGTATGCCCAGAATTGCGGCAACCTCTTTTCTCCTCCATAAAACTTGCTTGGCTTCTTGTCCCCTCATCAATCCACACGATCCCCCTACTATCGTCACGATCACCAAGATCCAGGCCCACAGCCCTTGCTCCTGGTCCTTTCTCTTCGCCCCGCTTCCCACACAAACTCTGTTTGGAAAGCCACGTCTTTAGTCCGCATACAGTGCGCTTTATCATCTTTTTTATCCCTTTCCTCTCGTGGGTCTTCTTTTGATTTTTCTCCAATTTTGCCTGATAACCGTGCTCCCAAGTACTACCATAGGTAGTTACGGGGATTTCCGCCAGCGGACTTCCGTGTATATCTAGCTGCCTGGGCTTGTAGGCAGATGCAAGAATGCCGTGGGGCGGGAAGGACTCCAAGGGAACCGCAGGAACACCGTTGTCCAAGAACTGTTTATCTCTGTTTGCCATTGCGCCGGTATTACGATTAAGAAAGTATTAAGTTTTAGAAGATCTGAATTACTGGGCGTGTTAGCAGGATACTCTGGAACGTAGCACAATTACAACACCGTGATCCAATAGGACTCCGGAAGAAGAATTCTTCTCGAATCCCATAGAAAACCTCGGCATGCAGGGTCCAGCAGCGCCAACTCACCTGAAATTAAAAGCGGCAGCTAAAGTTGAAATACGGCCCGGCCCTTGCTTAGTACGAGCACCAGTGTCGTTATCCTGAGTTTCTAGAACTCCAAGGGACTGCTGTGCGGAGCTATATATGTTAACATATATGTAAGACTCAATTTAATGCGACCAACGACCCATAAACTCACCTGAGCTAGGCTAGAACAGTGGTAGTTACCGACTGATAGCGGTCTGCGACCAGTTATACTATGATACTGGTAATGGTCTGAATTCCGAGACTCTAGGTGTGTGGGGATGGTATTGGTATTGAGAGCCTCTCGAAAATAAAAATGAAAAAAATTAAATGAAAAAAATTACGAAAAATAAGAGATATAATGAAGAAAAATAATGGAGGGGAAGGCGGAGAGAAGTGAGGGCTTCGTTCCTCACCTTTTGTACTTTCAGAAACGATATACGAATAAGCCTTCATGGTTCAAGGCCACCAATCCGGATCTCGACATATGTACTCTACCCTGACATGCAGGTAGGCGAGTTTAATCGAGTGGAGAAACATTTCCGGCACGCACCCATTACGTGGTAGCTGAGAATTCCAGAAGCGGAGTAAAGCGTAGACCAGCAGCAGCGTTGGCCGGAGGCTTGGGGCAACGCACGGATTCACGGGAGAGAACACAAGAGGCTATGGGGAAAAGCAAGGAGATAGGTATGAACCTGTTAACTGGATGAACCCAAGTTAAGCTCATTTTTTACCGGTTGCTTGGTGTATATGATGTTTATAAGTTACAGTTGTGGTCAGTTGGTTACAAGGGTTCAAGATCAGCTTCTAACCAATGCTTTTTGAGCATCATACTAATATTACCTAAGATCTTTTAAACCCAACGTAAAAAAAGAAACAAAATACTCGCCAAGGTCCAACATGACAGCTTCACGTGCTACATGAATTAAATCGTGATAAAAATTGAGAAACGCCAGATACGCCTAAACCATATGAAACAACACTTCCTAGCAATCTTATCATCAGGTATTCCACCAATGATCGTGCTCCAGCAACCCATCCTTATTGTGTTCTGCGCTTCTATCCTCCCTCCTTGTGCCACCGTCATATCCCCAGCGCCTGCGCCCTTCCCAGATCGCCCAGCCACCGATCTTTTCGGCTTCTTCAACCCACTTCGCTGCGTCTTCGCCCCACTTGCTCTCAACAGCGCCTTTCAGCTTTTGACCGCCCTCCCATGACTGGGAGGTATCCGTCTCCATGGGATCCCGCTCGGGCCATGAAAACGTGTATGGCGAAGGCTCACAGATGGGTAAGACCAGCCTATATGGATGAGCAGATGAAACAACTGATAGATGAGTTCCCCCGGGATTGACAACGCCGAAATTCCACTGCTGTCTTCCGAACCTGATAGGACGGAAAGGACGTATGAGAGATTGGCCTTCGTACTCGGGGAGCATGTACTTTGCGATAGCCGTTGACTCATCGTTGAGTGAGTTTGTGGAGATTAGTAGGTCCAGAACGGTGGGAAGAATCGTCATTGAGGTTGTGGTGAAGTTCAGCTGAATCCTTGGTAGTTGTGGGTGACGGAAGACTAGGGGAACTTCAAAGTTCTTGATATGCGGGTTTACGTAGGTAGTTTTGGCGTTCGTAGACTCTCCAAAAGCGAAGCCACTATAGGAGGTGTATTGTCAGTAAATTCTCATCTAAATAGCTTTTATTCAACGGATTTAACTTACTGATCTCCAACCATAACGATCAAAGTCTCATTAGCAACACCAACTTCTTCCAAAACGCCCAAAACCTCAGTAATCCAGGAATCACCCCACTTGATGCTGTTAAGGTACTTGTTCCATGCTGCTCCACCTCCACTTGCATGACTACCCTCGACGCCCCAATACGGCTCCTGTTCCCCGAACTCCGGTGGTGTGGCCCATGGATGATGTGTACTGCTTGTCAAATGCGACAAGAACACTCTATCGCCGCTAGCCTCGGCCTCTACGAACAAATCCTTGATATATGGCTTCAGCTCCGTTTCGGAATAACCAAAGTAGTTCAGCTCGGCCTGTTTCGGCTTATATTTTGCGTCTGGTGACTGCAGCGTTTCCCGGACTACCGATCCGTCGAAGCCTATCTGGTCGATGAACGGAGCTTGCCTATCGAATTTGGTCGTGGAAGCCTGCATAAATACTGATTTCCACGTCCCATTATTCCTCCACCCCTTCTCAACTGTACCCGGTTTCGGAAGATTGGCGTTCATGGCCTTCAAGATATGTGCGAGACACGGCTGGTAGATGTCGGTTTCTAGTTCTTCCATGAAGTCGACTGCCAGCGGGGAAACTCCGCAATGGCTTCCAAGGAGTGACTTTAGAGTGAAGCTGCTGCCAGTCAGAGCTCCCTTGATATTGATACCTCCAAAAGTGCTGTTAACAGATCTTCCAAAGCCACCATCTTCTCCAGTAATATCCTCGGCCATGCGACTCAGCTGAGATAGATCTGCCCATGGTTCATTTTTGGATACATCGCGCTTGGAATTTGTAGGATAGCCACGGGACTCCATAATTTTGTTGTAGAGAATACCGTCCTTGATGAGCGGGAAAACATCCTTGCGGGTTGACTCGAGGGAGAGGATGATGACATGTTTGATCGAGACAGTTGAGAGGGCTTCCTTCAGCGCATCCATTATCGGGAGATCGAGGTTTGTAATCTTAAGCGGGTCGAGAATTGGTTCATAACCAGGCGGCGGCGGCGGAGGGGGAGGCGGGAAGTCGTCCTCGTGATGTCCATGGGGACGATGACCATGACCAGGGTGTGGAGGAGGGGGACCATCATGATGTCCAAATCCAGGGGGTGGAGGCGGTGGAGGCCCATGGTGATGGTGACCATAAAACCGTTCAAAACCAGGTATCTTACTCTCCGGGAGCCAGCTCGGGCGGTTTTTCGCTCTCTCTTCAGCAACCTCCCACCAAGGGCTTCCAGGCCTCCATCCCCGTCCGACACCATCTTCCTGTCCTTCGGCGGGTATCCAGAACTCTTTCCGAAGAAGCTCTGGGAATGGAAATTCAGGGGGTCCGTCATATGGCGAAGGTTCGCAGAAGACCGAGCGCCTAACCCAAAGGCCTTCGAATAATGTGAAAGGGAGGGTGCCGGACATGTGCTGATACGGGGACAGCGGACGAACGATATGCAAAATAATGATAGTTCCAGTTACTACAAGGAGCTTAAGCCTTGCCCACCGGATAGCGCCGACAGAGTTTGAAGGGGGCGCCTTTTCCGCGATAGACTCAGAGAGCAGCCCTTCACCATCTTCTTGGTCAGGAGCGCGGCGTCTCGCAAGGCCCTCCCTAAACACGATCCATTTGCTGGGGAAGATAGTAGTCACGATGGATCTGACCATGCGATGAGAAAGATTGTAGAGCAATGGGTTGAACAACCAGGCTATGCCGCCAAGAATTCCGATTGTTAACGAAAGGCCGTAGAAACCGCTCATGAGCATCCCAAAAAAGCCTTCTGGTTCTCTCAAGACCTTGGCCAACATGTTCCAATGAATCTCACCGCCGGTTTCAATGAAGAAGCCGATCTGAGTAGCAGAGGTGGATGCAATGAGAACCCTAGCAAAAGAATTAAAATCGCCTACCCAATAAACATTCTCCACGAAAGGGACTTACGAAAGAAAGATGCCAGCAACTCTCCATTTCTGAAAGATAATGCGTGTAAAGAATATTACCAAAAAATCTAAGAAAAGAAATGTCGGGAAATACAAGAGAAAGAGAAATATGGGGATTGTAGTCAGATGCGAAAAGACGTGGAGGAGCTTTGCGGATAAAAGCGAAACCACGAGTAGCGAGTAGAAATAGGCGCGGTCTGGCCATGTCAATGTGATGGAGGGCATTATTGCTGTGTATCAGAGCTATGTGTGAGCTATGATTGTCTATTGTAGGGAGACCGATGTGTTGAACATTAGCAGCTCAGTTATTAAGGGTCTATGCCTTTGCCGCTGGAGACGAGGCGCAAAAAAAAGCCAAGTGCAAGTGTAGAAGATGAGAGCGCCGATAAACTCAAATTTTATGGGGACAAATGTAAAGGAAGGAAGCGACTCTGTGTTGAACAAGGCTGAGCCGAAGGATGGAAGAAAGCTGTTGAAGAAATGAAGGGAGAAAGAAAGGAGGTCGAGCGAGAGTACAGTGCCGAAGGTCGAAAGTGAGCGAGTGGTGGTTTAAGGAGGAAAAGGAAAAAGATCTTGTGAGTGTCTGAGTGTGGATGAGTGAGAGGTACGGCAAGTTACGCATAGACCGTAGGCAGGTGACGGCTATTTTAGACTACCTATGCACTTGCAGGAGTTTAATAAGTGTGTCGCTAATTAATTTATAGGGAGATGCATAAGCCTCGCTCACTAAGCGCGTCCAATGAGGATAAGACCTCACATCTGTGAACTTTTGGAAGAATTGTACTATGTAGGATATACATAAAACCAGGCATCGATCGGATAATCGATGCACTTTCTCAAATTTGATAGCTGAAGACGGCTGAAGACTGGGACAAAGTTCTCCTGCATGTGTGTGTGCAGCTAGCTCTCTTGGAAATATTAATACATAAGATGCTCAGCCCTCATAGCCTGTAATGTTCTCGTGAGCTTCCTTCCAGAGAACCTCTACCATTTGAGAGAGAGTTTCTTGTGGAGGAATCGACGTCTATCGTTACCCCTCTCCACTAAGCCCCATTGCCCATGAAATGGCAATTGCCCCCGTGCGCTTTGCCATCGCCAGAGAGAGCGTATGTGTGGCATAACCGATGGTTACGATAACATTTCCATTACCCCATTGGATTTCGACTGTTGTGTACCGACCACTGATGTTGAGTCATGTTGTAATTACATGTATCTGAGGTGTGCTCGCCTGCTGTCCATCCCCTGGATCCAGACACCCCTGTCAAGGCTAAGCCTTTTCGACAAGGGCTTTAATCAGTTAAGCCTTTGGATAACAAGGGTCGTGTTCAGATCTGCATACTAGCTGCATAAATGCTATCCCGCATGGACGTGTTTTTAGATATCTCGCGAACTAGGTGTTCTACGGTACCTTCTTTTTTGTTTCCAGGCTACTATATCCGTCAAAATTTAGACCCGAGGAATTTAGGAAGGCTCACTCACCGTAGACAGAACGCTGCAAATAACACCTCCCGTAAGCTTGCAAAGTCTCCCCCACCGGTAAACTCCTACCACCTCGCCAAATTTAGTTTCACCGGGACCGGCACCGTGCCGACAACCGACAATTTCATTAATTGCGCTATGTTTCCGCAATACTGGGTTTAGCAAAGGAGAAAGAGCACATGTATGTAGAGCATGGAAGTAAAATGTCTCATCTATCGATCATTACGCTAAAAGTGACAGGAGGTGCTAATCTTTACAGCTTTGCCATGGTTTATCCGAGACTTTGAATAAGAACCTAGCTTGTTCGTTTGCGCGCCTAAATGAGTCTCGGGTAGGCTGGTAATTGTGATTACTGATCCTTTTTTCCTATTCAGGTTGATGTTTTGAGTGTGCTGCAGGCCCGGCTATTCATTAGCTGGTGTTGCTAGATAGCGTTGAAGTCTGGTAGGTACTTCGCCATCAACTGATTCAAGCCTTTGGCCTCTGTTGATCATGATCATGAAGCTACATCCCTTCAGTGTTAATGACAGTAACCATGACTATTTCTCACGAAATAAATAGAGATTTGAAGTTGAATCACACTTGAAACTGAGAATTATGTCTCCTTGGGATTCTGGAGTTCAATCAGTCCATGATCAACAACGTCTCGAGCTCCACGTCCATTGGAATGTACTTTACCTACATGTAATTATTTACTAGTAATGAGCAGTAGGTACAAGCTCAAATATCCCTTTCCCCCTCCCCACGTCTTTCAACTAGAAAATATGCTTATCCGAGTTTGGCCCCGAGAACTCTCCCTATCGCGGTACCTGCAGCTGCTGTTCTCCGTGCAGTGCACCCTTTTCACACGTGACGGTAGGCTCCAAGATTGAAAGGAATTTGTTTTCTTCTCGACGTCGAGTCGGGGATTTATATTTCACAAGTAGTGACGCGTCATTCCGACCCTTTTATTACTTCACCTCTCGGTGGCCGGATACTAGAGTCTCCGAATTTGTGCGCACCCTGCAGTAAAAGCTGGCTTACTAACTGCATATAGACTTCGCCAAGAATATCGTTTGGTTTGTGAATAATGATTACTCTTAGGTACGGGACAAGGTGTAGCGTGTTGATAAAGTACATGTAGATCATAAGAAAACTAGGTACGACATAATATTAAAGGTATTGAATGGGCAGCAGCCAAACGCACCAATTGAAAGTTCGTAGCTGCCAAGCACTGCACTAACTCTGATGAAAGGCAGAAGGACAAGAGAGGGTTTTACTTCGAATTCGTTCAGGTTATATTTACAGGAAGACAGAAAAATGAAAGGAAGAAGAATGACGGGCATGAAAGAAGAGATGTCGAAGATTTGACTGACCACTTGTCCGTTTAAGCCCCATTTCTAACAGCCCCATCTCGCACATGACTGTATGTACTAACGACCGATACTATGACAGACTCAACTTCGCTTTTTCCTTCATCCTGTTACTCTTCAATCCCAAATTCGAAATCGATGTCTTGTCCAACTTTGGATATCTGTGGGCTAATGTCTAACGTGTATATCATCGATGCATGCAGCATTATCGACGTCACTACCACCATCTACCTCCACTTATTCATGACATGCTTTCTCTCAGAGAATGTTGCACATGACCCTTGATTCAATATGTTGTGCCACTTAAATCGTGAACTGGAACTAGCTCACGATCCTGTGGTGTCCAGCTCAAGTACCCGCCGGTCTACGCTTCTATGGCTAGATAGATTACTCGAACACCTTGAGAATCTTAGTCTGCTGTGTTTCAGGTTACGTCACCACGAAATTAGGGATATCAAAGCTGAGAGACTAGCCATATGCTGCTTTAAAAGAGTGCAGTTACTTGCTGGGTACGGAAAACTTGGGCTAGACGAAGCAATCTACGCCCTGCTAGTACATCGTTTATCTACCATCAATGACCACCCACAGTCCCGGGGAGAGAAGCTAACTTGACCACTAATTAGACAATGGTCGGTATGGTCTGTGACCATTCATAGTTTCGTGAGAACACAGAGTTGTGTTAGGCCGAGTGATAACTTGTGATTAACCCCCACCCACTCCCCTACGCTATGCGGCATAACCGTTGTACTAAAACTTGCAGTTCATGATATATCTGGTCTTGACTTTGGCTATATCTATCTGGTAATTTTACGAGGGTAATATATATATAATAACGTCCCATTTTATTTACGTAAAGAGCCGGCTCCTAAATACGGCCTTGGCAGTGATAAACGTCCTTACCGCCTAATCACTGGGATGTGTTCCGGGCGACTGGCAAATACCTCGAATTCGCGAATGGACTGCTTGCTCTATACATCTGTGACAGGACCGGTCGATTGACGAATAGACTGCTGAAATTGTAGTAAAATATGGTTTTCAGAACTATTCTCCAATGGTTTGGATGCGGCCACTTGAGGTTTCAGGGCCCTAATGGAGATCGATCATAGGAAGGATGCTGATTGAATCCTTAAGGACATCGCTGGCTGTTTCTAGGCGTTACGGAGGTACCAATTGCTAATTAGAGCTTGCTTTTTGCCCTCCTTGAGATCTTTGAGGTCGCTGGAGGTTGCAGAGATACCCTGAGGCTGCGGGGTTTATTGGACATTGATCTAAATCAATTATTAGTTGTTTGCGATCAATATTTATTCTACTAAGACTACGTTTTCCCCAGTCTATTCGCGAATAGACCGGTCCAGCCACAGATGTATGAGGCTAGTAGTCCATTCGCGAATACCTCAAGTCCATTCGCGAATTTGTCAAGTCCATTCGCGAATTCGAGGTATTCGCCGGTGGCCCGGAACAGATGGGCTAATAAGTATCAGGAATGTTGAGCGACTTATCAAATGCGGTCTGACGGTATCTTGGCAGTAAGTTACTTCTCCTGAGCCGGCTCGGCATAGCATAAACGAAGGGATAGCAGCCTCCTTCCGAAAATACCAGGCCCGATAATCCTCAGCCATGAACTTTCTTGACTGGGTATACCCAGTGGGGAAAGAATTTAGCTCGGTATTCCCATTCGCGAATTAGTAGCGTTTGTACAATTGTTTATATGCATACTTCGTATACTTTCGCTTGGCCTAGTACTACGAATATAGGAGGGAAATTGATAGTATCTTGACCTCTTTCATCGAGCTTCATTATTCAACTAGTGTGATCCACGAGGCTGCTCGAGGCGGGCAGTGACAAGTGCTCGAGGTACCTCTGCCTCGTGTTGTCCATTCCTTTGCTTGCCCGCGAAAAAATGGGGGATGCCTCGAGGTAGATAATTACTACATTTAGATCTGTCAAAGTCGTATTTTATTGTAATACTGGAACGCAAATGTAGGGAATGCTTCCAATGTTCCTATCAGAAACATCAACCCTACTGAATATATACCACTAATACTATGATTACCTAAACCTCGAGCAGCTCGAGGCGAGCAAGAGGGTTTGCCTCGAGCATGCTCGCCTTGTCGACCCCCATGCCTTGAGCTCCCTCGAGGCAGAGGCCTCGAGGCAAGTCCTCGAGCGTCGATGCCTCGTGGACCACACTATATTCAACTCTTCTTATTTTTATGAAGATCATGTCGTCGTGGTTCTCGGTGCGTTTACAAATTTTTGATGGTTGCACTCTTTTGACAGGTCTTATGTGGCAAGAGTGCTTATCGGGAGATCTTACCCACATTGATACCCTGCCCTAAGTTATGCTGGGTATACCACTCAAAGGGATGAAACATATATGTTTCAGTCAGGGTTTGATATTGAACGTGAATAACCTATCAAGGGTTATTCGGGATCAATTCGGCGCTACGTGACAACCGAGTGATAACTTGTGATTAAGTTTCGTGTAAAACTGAAGACCAAATCCAAGGACGAGGTATACATAAGGGCAAGCGTAAAGAAGATTTAACGTAATTTTTTCGGTAGACTTAAAGGCATTCCTTAAAAATAGCTATTCATTCATTCTTCGTATTACATATACATGTATGTTATGTCATAAAGGCTCTCTACGCCTGCTGCTGTCCTTGAGCCGTATGTTCCCTTAGCTCCAATGTAGTGCCATCTTTATCCTCTCCCAGGGCGGCGACCTTCCTATCCAATGCCTCCTCTTCTCCTGCCTCTACAACATCAACCTGTCCAAATAACTTGTCCATCCTCTCTAGAGAGATGTTTTTCGTCTCTGGCAGGATCACATACACCGAAATCTACCATTTGTTAGCAGCTACTCTATAAGCACTATTTGTCTGGAGCGGAAGATGCCGTACCAAAGCGACCACGTTCAGTGAAAACAGCAACCAATAACTCTTCGCCCCCACATCCTCATTAAAGCCAGGCCACGGCTGCGTAATAGCCAACAAAAACGATGTTTGCCCCAACATGGATAGCCCAAATGCTTTATCTCGCACATGCTGTGGGAAGATCTCAGATGCCACGATTGGTGCAATTGGGCCATTGGACCAGCAGTATGTTAATCCTACAATAAACAACATTGCAACCTCCGCCACCGCCGCAGCTTTATTTCTATGTCTTGCCGTTAGCCCGCACCACTCGCAAATGGGTGGGGTGGGGTCTATCACTTACTGGTTATCAGGAAATGAAGTGGTCAACGACGATAGGATCAGCAGCGCTCCTGCCTGTATCGAGAACCCTGCCAGCAGTAAGGTCTTCCTCCCAAAACGATCCACAGTAAACGTATTAACCAGCACAATGAACAGCTGAAGAACGCTCTGGATCCCGTTTATTGCCAGTGCCTGAGATCCAGAATCCCAGCCCAGTGACTGGTAGATTAGGACTGCATACATTGTCACTGCCGCAATACCACCCATTTGCTGTAGTGCTGCGGTATAGAAACCGTAAAGAAGTCTTTTACGCATGGCAGGGTCTTTAAGGAGACCCCAATATCCAGGAGTGGAGTGGCGCTGCCGGTACTCGCGAGACATGACGAGTTCGCGGAATTCGAGCTGTACGTGCGGGCTGTCGGGGGTGCCAGAGCGGATTTTGGCGAGGATGTTGAGGGCGGTGGTTGGGTCGTCAGGATATCTTTCGAGCTGTGCCCGGTGTTTAGCTATCAGTTCGAAGAGCAGGAGTAAGGGTGGTAGTGCTCACCAGCCATCGAGGCGACTCTGGGTACCAGAATGATAGAACAATGAAAAAGACCCCAATAGGAATCTGGATGGCGTTCGAGACCCTCCATGCTATATTGTTAGGAGATTTATGAAACGACATTCCGTATCCTGCCCAGAAGGCAATGAGGGTACCGAGCTGGTAGCCAAATTGCGATACAGTGCCTACAAAGCTGCCACGAAGTTTTGTAGGTGCACATTCAGCGACATAAAGGTTGGTAGCAACATATACGCAACCAAAACCGAGACCGCTATCATCAGTTAGTAGGAAATATATTTAAAATAACCGTTTAGGACCAACGAACGTTATAAGACGCCCAAGAATGAGCACTCCGAAGGTGTTTGGTACTACTTGAACCACACTATTCCGATCAGAATTATATCTACTTGAGATATATCAACGGAACTTACACTCCGACAATCATTACAGCAATCGAGATTCTCAACGCCCACAACCTCCCAACCATATTCGCCAAAGTCCCCGCCACGAACAACTGCGCAAAACCTAATTGTCATCCCTCTGTCAGCTCTCTTATCCGCCTTCGAGGTTATGTGAAGACATACCAGTAGTAGCCCATGGAATAGTGGCAATAATTCCAGACCTGTTCGCATCTACCGAATAATAGTCCTGAAATTGCTTATCTGCCAAAATCACACTCATGATACCAGCATCGTAACCGTTGAAACAGGTCGCAAAGACCATTCCATACAGCATGAGTGCCGCATGGCGATCGTCAGGTGGAAGGAATCTTTGAAGGAACCCCATTTTTCTCTTTCTCCTTTTCTGCTTGGCCGTGGAAAGTGGGAAAGCGGTGTCCTTCTACATCGTGGCCGTAGTATGTATACACACGTGTATACCTGGTTTACAGAGTTCTACCTACAGCGCAGATATGGATGACATGGGTTGAGAGTTCGACCCCGGAAAATCATCACCTCTTTGCGATTTAGCCGTGGGATCTGGGGTGAATGGAAGATGATCGTGAGGGGGTGAATCATGTGGAGAAGAGGCATGGGGATGTGGGCAGGTATGTAGGCAGATAGGGGGTCTGTGTATAGGGGTTTCCCGGGGTTTGGCGCTGACAATTATTGCCTATTGAGTGCCAGCTGTAGATGATTATGGGTGGCATGATTGGACTGCAGTTTCCTATGGTTTCAATATTGTGTGTACTCAGTTGAGTACACGCCATAGAACATTACTAGTATTACTTGATAACCCAAGTAAGTGGGCTAAGTAGAGTACCAAGACCCAGCTTATTATTCTACCGACCCCCGCGTAAGTACTCAATAGATCTAATAAAGTATAGGGCAATAACATATTAGCATCGCGCTACCCGAAAAACATTGACAAAGATACTCACAGTCTCAAACTAAGCCTTGCAAAAGTATCTAGCATATTACTATCGGCATATATCCACACCGACAGACACCCCCCTGCTCGGCATCTCCGGTGGGGACCCCAACTTTCGCTTAGCCGTTAGCGAGACTGAAATGCGGGGATAAAAGCTTCGGGTAAAGACCGACCGAGCGCCGGTGATGTTAGGTCTGGGGGCCGGTTTGTAGCTGTGCAGTGGTCAGTTTATGGGAGAGTTTACAAACAATATCACGGGATCAGTACCCACAAGTACGCCGACTAATGTGTATAATATGTCACGGTACCGTTATTTCCCACAAAGAGTATTTCCAGGACTGCTGCGCACGCCAAGATTCTGATCCGCTTTCAAGGGCCAATGATAATATTCTCAATTTCCTGATCATAACACACAAGCAACTATGTACAGCTGAGAAAAGAAAACCCTGCCTCTAGATAAACCATTCATTCGAGATACTGGTCGCAAATCTTCATATACTATTCGGACTCTCCTCTGCTTCAACCAGGGCTTCTCCTCAGACACTGTAAACCCCCTCCTTTTTTTCTTGATATATTAAAGTTCCCTACGCAGATATACGGCCAGCTGGATACGGTGGTACCTTCAAGCCCACTCTCATGTGTCCCTTTCCACCTCTGTTCGCTCTGAAATAAAACGGGATGAATACCAAATCCCGCGCAACATACGAAGCATAGTAGGAAGGATACTTCTCGATATCATAGACCTGCCCGCCGGAGGGCATGCTGATCTGGACATAGGTCTCGTTTGTCTTTGGGTCTGTGACGAGCTCTTCTTGGAAGGGTGCTTCCAGGTTGATGTGCGTTGTCTATGTTATGTCAGTCTAATCCATGACGATGCGGGATACGGTGTAGACCTTGAAATGATCGGTCACCCAGCTGTTATCTATATCTTCGACACAGTAGACGATGGGGCCTCTGGCAATACACGCAGTCTCACGGTTCGTGAATGGGTGTGCCCTTATCACCCGTGGTTTCATCGGCACATCCAGCGTTATTCCCGAGCTTGAGTACGGCTCTAGTATCGAGATGTATCCGTTAACTACTTCAGGTCTACTACTACCCCCCGATGACACCGTCCATTTATTCTCAGCCCATTTAGGGATCCGGAGCTTCATGTTCAGTGCCAACTCCGGCGATGTCTTGGTCACTGCGAAGGATACTTTTCCATCCCACGGCCAGTCGGTCGTCATCTGCACTGTCACCACGGCACCAGTACTCATCTTCATCGTCAGCGCTGCGGCAGTGTACAGATGGATCATCAGGTCCACGCCTGATGAGGTTTCCTCCCAGGACCAGATGTAGCCTCCCATCATTCCGAGTGTCCGCGCGATGTTTGGGGGACAGCAGGCACACTCGAACCATTCTTCGCGCTTGGAGAGGTCCTGTGGAGAGGATGCGAGCTGGTTGAGGTATGTGAAGGACTTGCCATCGACAGACATACTTGTGAGTACAGTGTTGTAGAATGCGAGCTCCATGGTGTCTGCGTATTCTGCATTGAGGTCCACCTACTTTCCGTTAGCGTTCCCTCTCGGAGCCCGTAACAAGCATAAAGGAACTTAACTGACCTTCAACAGCCTCTCCGCCAACATCATAATCCCAATACTCGCACACGTCTCCGCATAACACCCGCCTTCATCCGTCGCCTGCGGTAAGAAATACGCATCCCCAAACCCCTCCCACTGCCGCACGGCCCCGATACCACCGGTCTCATACATCTTCCTCCCCACCATATCCGCCCATAGTCGCTTCACTGCAACCAGATACTCCTCCGACCCGGACCCATCCTGCCGCACCAGGTCCGCCACCGCAGTGAGCAAATACATCGCCCTAACCGCATGCCCCTTGATCGTCTGCTGCTCTAGAATCGGCTTGTGCGCTTGCTGGTACCTACACCCTCACACACATTCTCGTTAGCCCCTGCCTCCCAATAACTAAAAACACGTCGTGGTGATCATTGACAGTACATACCAATAACTCTTCTTCTCCGGATAGTATCTAGGAACCTCGTTCTCACGGTCCCCACGCTTTGCGGCCTCCTCGGTATAGAACTGCCCACCATTGCGGCCGCGCTCGGTAATGAAGTAGTGGGCAAGGTCGTGGTGGCGCTGGCCCCCAGTGAGTGCATAGAGGCGGAGCAGCGCGAGCTCAATCTCGGGGTGTCCGGGGTAGCCGTGGAGCTGGGAGGGCCCGGGGCCGAAGGTGCTGTAGAGCAGATCGACGTATTTTAGGATTGGATCGAGAAGGAGGGTGTTTTTGTAGTGGTGGTGGTGGATTAGTGCAGCTTCTATTAGGTGGCCGGCGTTGTAGCTGTTGTTGTGGTTAGTTTTCTAGTTGTTTGATCATTAGTATCCTGAGGAAACTTACAGCTCATGCAGGTCCCTCAAGTTCGTGAACCTTCCACCCTTATCCACGACCGTGAAATGGATATTCAAATACCCGTCATCCTGCTGCGCACCACGGATCATGTCCACCAGCTCCCTCACCGCCTCATCGATATCCTTCAACTCCCCTGCCTCCTCCGGACACTCACTGAGCAGATAGCACGCGCCCTCAATCCACTTTGCGACGTCCGAGTCCCAGAAGAGGTGGTTGGGCACGGGCCAGTGAGTGGGCGGGTCCGCGTAGCTGGGGTGCGGCTGCAGCCGGAAGGCCTCGTAGCGGCCGGTGTGGCAGAGGAGCGAGAGTTGCGTGCGGAGGGTGGTGGGGAGGGTGTGGCGGAGGCGGGAGAGGAAGCTGTGGGGGGTGAAGGTGGTGTGGTGGAAGGTGGTTTGGGGGTAGGACATTGTGGAGGTTGGTGGGCTAGCTGATGCTTGGGCGGTGGGCGGGTGCTGGAGCGGTGGGCGGTGGGCGGCCGGCAGAGGGGGGGGGGTATAGCAGTTGTTTTATCTCGTATATTTATTTATGAGTAGTTTGGATGAATGCTGAATGACATCCGACACTACGAAGTGGACGGAATGGCAAGAATAGACGCAGGAGCATCTGAGATATATTCTTAAACAAAATCAATCAACACCAGCTATTTAGTAACTATGCAGATTGATACTTATTCCCACATGCATGTGATGCAGCGCAATGTTTCAAAGTAAAGCAATCATTACCATAACCTATCATGCATACTCACAACCCAATTGAAACCTCCAACCCCCAATCCCAATCCCAACCCGCCGGCATTCTCCTCACAGGCTAATATTTACCTGTGTAGTGGGGTAATGATATCTCATCCCATCTAGAGCTGATCATGAATGTAATAACCTACATGTATCATACAGTGGGGTACACCACATTAGCCTAATTAACTAATCATACAAACACAAATGCTTAGCCTTCCTCCCTCCCCCGCCCGCTCCCCCACCGAGATATGCACGGCACCGGACTATAGCCATAGCTAAGCCCAGGAAGATCCGGCATCTCCACTTGCACTCAAGACTAGGTAAAACAATTAAGATGCCTAATTGCAATTGGCCTAGCTGCGCTGATCCGGATCCCACATAACATATTGCGGGGAAAGCACCACCATCTGGTTCGTTGATCAGCTCATCGCTACGAATACGTATATACCCAGCTGGGCCCTGGCATATAACGAAACCGGGTAAGGGCACAACTGGCGCAACCGGCCTGCATTGTTCCGTGTGCGGGATCAGCCCGGGATGTTCCCGGAGCGCTCTGTAGAAGTTTGGTAGTAGGTAGGTTTTCGAGTTATGGTATGGCATTGTAAATGGCAGTGAAAGAGATGTTGCGATTGATGATAATGGGTTTGTGGAGAGTAGAGTTTTAAAAATACATATAAAGTACATGTTCTTCATAATAAGCTAGATGTATGTAACCAAATACTGAAACAAAACCATACACAATTATATCTCACATAAACAAAACACTAGAAGCAGCAAATATCTCTACTATCTCAAGAAAGAATACCATCGCACAGTACCTTCCCTCAAACCCAATTAGTAGCCCATAACCCACAGTCCATAAACCCAACCATATCCATCCATGTAAGTAATTACTATTCACAACCACAACCGCAACCGCAACCGTAATGATCAATCTACCACATTCTCAATCCAACCCAACATCAACACTCGGGATTTTTCCGCCCCCAGCCGGCTTCCGAGTATTCCAACCTAAACCCAAGCCAGGTTTCCCCACAGCAGCAAGGAATTAATATCCCGCCATCTGATAATAGCCAAAAGACCGCATTGGCACAGCTCGAGGGCTAAATCGCGACTCCAAGATATTCAGCTGCTTTCGAAGCCTAGTACTATTCTCTCCGGGCGAGATGGCCCAGAATACTAGTACCACTACTAGCTGAGCTGGGCTATGGGCTCATAAAGAGTCTATAAAGCTCCTAACCTCCGTGTCGAATTCTCAATCTCCAGTCTGTAGAGATAGCCAGAGTTCTACTCGTCTTTCGCCAACATGTTGTTCAAACATCTCTCCCTCCTCGGCCTCGCTGCGCTCTCCAACGCCGCAGCTGTGTCCAAGCGAGACGTCAACAAGATTGGTACGCACCTTCTATTCCTATTCTCCTGCCAAACCTCAATTGCAAGTCGTATAATTATACTAACCCTCCACAGCCACAATCGACTTCAGCACAACCCGCGGCGCACCGAAACAGTACGGCAGCGGCATCATCTACGGCATCCCCGACACCGACGCCTGGCAGATTCCGAAGCACTTCTTCACCGACATTGGCATCAACCATGGCCGCGGAGGGGGGTCGCAGGTCCCTGGGAAAGGGTGGGTCGGCGGCGAGGCAGACTATGTCGTACGTACTGACCATTGTCCATGTATCAAGAAGACAGGCGTTGATATATCTGTGATGGTAGGCGCGCATTGAGTCTGTCTACTCAAACTGGAAGAAGCTTCAAGAGCTCGGCGGAAACTTCTTTATGCTCAATTCGGGCCTCTGGGGCGGCGGTAAGCTCTCCTATCTTAACAGAAAGCGGCGGCGTCTGACATGTACACCTGCGCAGACGGCCTCTTGGTTGCCTCCGACCCTCTTCCCGGCGACAATGACGACTGGGCCTCCTATGATGCATTCCTCCTGCGTGTTGCTGCTGATATCAACAGGCTGGGCATGACGCAGGGTCTTATTGTAGAGCTCTGGAACGAGGCCGACTACTCGGCCTTCTGGCTTAACCGGTCGAAGGAGCAGTGGCTCAAGGCGTGGGGGTGGGCATATCACCGTCTGCGCCCGCTTCTTCCCGCGAGCGTCATCATTGGGGGGCCAGCGTTTGCGACAGAGATGTCGAATGCGGGGTGGTGGCCGGACTTTTTCCAGTATGTCAAGACGAACGGGTCGGTGCCGGAGTACTGGTCGTAAGTTGTTCTTTCTAGGAGTGTGCGGGCGGTGGCAGAGGTGTATAAGGGATGCTGATATATGTGGGATAGATACCATTGCTTGTTCCAAGCTGGAGGAATTGGGAATGATCCAGAGTGGAGCATTGCGCAGATGAACGGGCTTCTCACTCAATACGGGCTCCCGACAGGATCACCGCTGAGTATCAATGAATAGTAAGTCCACCTCGATATACCCGCGCTCCCGCTTGAGCGCAGCTAAACATTAGCCCTCCAGCGCACCTCCCGAAGACCAAAACCCCGGCTACTCCGCCTGGGTCATCTCCACCTTTGAGCGCCGCGACGTCTACGGGCTGCGTGCAAACTGGGCCTCCGGCGGCGCACTCCACGACTACATGGCGTCGCTCGTCGGCAAGCCAGATGACACTAACGGCGGCACCTACAGCAATTCGTCCGGCGGATACTGGCCGACGGGTGAGTGGCACCTGTACAAGTACTACAAGCAGTCACAGACGGGTGTTCGTGTTGCGAGCGAGCGGTCGGTCGATGACTACTTCGATGTGTTTGCGACGTGGGATGCGAGTAAGAGGAAGGCTGCGGTGATTGCGGGGACGAATGCGGTTACCGGGACCTATGATATTCAGGTGAATGGGTTGCCCTCGGGGGCATTTTCGAGTGGTAAGGCGAGAGTCGTGGTGAAGGTGTATCCGTGGGTTGGCTTCAGGGCGGAGGTCACGGAGGGGCAGATTGCGACTGTCTCTAACACCGTGTATACCGTGACGGGTGGTGCCTTTACGATCCCACTAACGATCACGACCTCCACCAGCGGGTATTCTTTAGACATCACTCCTGCGTAGGAGCGCTGGGTGTGCAAGCAGATGTAGTTAGTTTATCAGCTCTTGTCAAAAGTAGGAGAAGTTGAGTGTGATGAAAGCAGTTGCTGTGCAGAGAAGGTGTTAACATGTTGTGCATGTCGACATCGTCAGAGAAGAGATGAATCAAAGAAGAACCAGTGCAGTGTCTGTATAAGATAGACAGAGAATCAACACATATCGCATAATAAGAAAGAACAAACAGCTGCAGACGATACACGTTTGATTGCTGTGCAAGTCGTACGTACCTGGAATTTAAATCACAGAATATCACTCGACATCATCATCCTGCGCATGTTGATTAACATGTATGTGATTGATCATGTAATTGATCCTGCGCGTATTTGGGGCAGAACGAATGAACAATATCATGTGAAGAGCCGTAATGAATATCCAATACGTATACAGCAACCCATCAATGAACATTCAATACAATTGTGTGGGAACAACTGTCATGTCATGTCATGCCGCCAGTGCACATTGGTATTTTTCCCTTCACCTTCTGTTCACTTGTGCGCGCCCCCTCACGTACCCCTTGGATCACATGAACGTACGGCTTTCAACTCATGAGGGGATCTAAGTTGTGAACATGATTTCTGCATTAACTCTCCGGTCATAGAGAACCTCTACTCCCGGGGCCCAAAGACCTTCCGCCAGCTCCATCTCCCTCCTCCACCACCACTACGCCGAAGGACACACCACACCACCACCACGTGCACCACCACCTCGATCCTCCTCCTCATCCAGCGTATCACTACCACCGTCTCACAAGACAGCACATACGAGCGAAAAAGTACTCTCCTCCAAATCCTTCTCTCTCCCCTAGTGCCCTCCAATCTCCTCTCCGCCTCCCATAGTCTCCTCACTTTGCAATTTGCCTCTCCTTACCCCACAAACCCAAAAAACAGCCACTACACAACCACCACAACATCCAAAACACTACCCACAGACCTTCATCACAACCTTTCACGTCTTCGTCCACCGCCCCATGTCTGGCTAGCTGATATCTGGCCTCGCTGGCGCGCCAAGCAGGCCGAGTGATAGTGTATGATTCAGGAAAGGTTGTTGCTGATTCTTAGCTAGTTAGTTAGTGTCGCATGCTGGTATGTGTTATCAGACGGTTTCGTGGAGTTGGTCGGTAGTATGTTGTCTTCTTTTCTTGCGCTTCATCCTTAACCTGTCTTGGTTGTAGATGTTCTCGCGATGGTTAGGTAGTGAAGACTTTCAGCGGAAGAGGAAGCTATGGAGAAGACTGATCATTGATCTCTGGTATACCTATTCACTTCTAATATAACAGCCTAGACAAGCACAATCACACATAAGCTCAGATCTTCCTACCTCACAGAAACCAGAAGCCAGTTCACGAAGTGTGTTCTCTTCTTTCCTTTCAGCACTCTGTCTCTTGCTGTACGGTGGCCCTAGAGGAGGTGGGGAACTATGTGATACCGCGACAGTTGGTCTCTAATAACTCCATAGTTAGGAAATATTGATAGCATGTTCATATTATGGGTGAGAGCTTGGTCTCGTTCGAGCCTGTATCTCGGGGAGCTTGGTAGCTAGTTTAATAACTAGAGCTATGTCCTCTTCGTTTCCAGTAATTTTTAACTATGCAG